TTTGAATCACCTAAGGTAAGCCAGAGATTCCGGCTTCTCTGCTTCCAGTAGGCCTCATCATCTTTATAGGCGCTTAGGAGTAGCTTGTTTAAGGTTTGGATTCTTTCTTCATCAGGGTCATCCTTACTCATTTGATCCTCCAAGTCTTCTCTAAGGCTCTCAATTTTCTGTTTACTGTTTTCTTGAAACAGTTTGCACCATCTGCAAATAGCACGTCGACAAAGTGCTAATCTTGCTTCAACACCAAGGTAGGAACAGTTAGACCAAATCTCCTCTATGAGAGCTTTTATGTCCTTATTTTCTTTTAGCCTTCTGTCATATCGAAACAAATTACGTCCTCTCTTCTGTGTTGTGTCAAGGTAGGAGAATAGAGGTCGATGATCTGAAGCTTCATATTTGAGATATTGGCACCGGCATGAGGGGAAAAGATCCGTCCACTCTGGGTTGCTCATAGATCTATCTAGACGACATCGCACAAGATGAGTACCTCGCTTTCCTCGCCACGAGAACATATTCCCTGAATGCTTGAGATCGAAGAGATCATTCTCTGAGAGGAAAGTCCTGAAAGCAGTGAAGGTACCCTCTGCTCTAATAGGCCCTCCTTTTTTCTCATTATTATCAATCAGCTCGTTAAAATCTCCCGTGAGAAACCAAGGGCCTCTTGGGGAAGGGTGAAGAGTAGCTAGTGTGTCCCAGAACAGGTTTCTCTTTGTGTGATCGGGTTCTCCGTATACGAAAGTAGCCAGGAATGACTTCCCTTTTGAGGAGATTCTTGTATCAATGTAGTTTTGAGAGGAGGATAATATCGTTAGGTCTATATCTTTTTTCCAACTTAGAATTAAACCCCCACCCCCCGGGGAATGAGGTGGTACTATCAGATTATTTTCCTCTTGGAGCCAAGGTAGTTCTCTTCTAATCATCTCCTCTGTGTTTTTGGATTCCATCAGGAATGTAATGTCTGGAGCCTTCCGCTTTCGGAGCTCTTTCAGCCGCTGGACTGTTTGTGGATTCCCCAATCCACAACAGTTCCAGCTCAGTACGACTAAGGAGCCCGGGAAGTGTGAACCCGAAAATCCGAGTTCGGTTTAGCCCTTGCTGGAATCAGGTGTATCGGAGGGTTACTTTGCACCGCAGCAGGATTTCCCGGACTATTTGAGGTTCCTGGGGCCATATGTTTCTTTGAGGACGCTGTAGCCTTACGCTTCTTGTTTGAACCAGGAGATTTACCTATCTGAGAGAGAATTCTTCTCTTTGAGCTAGAGCCCCTAAGGATGTTTGGTGTGTGGCGTGGTGACCTTGCTCTAGGGGGTTTTCCCAAGATTTCCTTACTTAGAGTGCGACCATCCATCAGAGTTTCCTTTGCTCCCTGACCCCTCGTCTCCTCAGTTACGCCATTGTTAAATTCCTCGTTTGAAGGAGGGCTAACAATAATCGATCTGAGTCTTGTAGGTTGTTCAACTTCTCCTCCTTGCGGTGTTATTTCTGGACCTTGCACCTCCTCTTCCCTAACCTGTTGATGGGAAAGGAACGAAGGCTCTGGGAATAAAAGCCTCTGGATGGAGGACCCCTGGTACGGAGGCGGGGTATTTGGGTTGCTATCTGCAGACAAACCCCTGCTGGAGGATGCCAGTTTTTCTGTTGCAGCTTGTATGATTGCTAGCGCGGTTTGTTCCACCTCTCCCCTAGCATCGCTCTCTAAAGTTCTTTGTCGTCTTGCTGCTGCTTCTATGGGGTCTTTGCAGTTGAGGTATCTTCTAGTTGAATCATGCAAGTCTTCCATTACTGCTTCAAAGGAGGGGATTTGCTCTGTTATTTCTGTGTTCTGAACTTGGGACAACGTAGCAAATTCTCGTGATTCCACCTCCAGAGGTTGATCCCTTTGTGTAGTTGTATTATCAGACGCTACAAGTTTTGGCCTCCATTGGACAGATTTTGACGCCATAGAATGCTCTCTGATTTGAGTGTTCCTAGCACCTACAGGCTGGTATGTAGAGGGATTCTCGGGATGAACATAGCTGGGTTTTTCCCTCCAGGTAGCTGGGGATTTTTCCTGATAGTCTGTCATTTTTGCAGGAGGAGGATTACGAGTCTGCTTGGTGCTCACCCTTTCCCCAAAAGGAACCCCGTGTCTGTCCACCCTCTCGTGAAAGGAGTGGTTCGAGTTTCTGGTTGGGCTTTTCTCCCGTGGAGCCGCCATGTAAGGTTTGACCTTTCCTTGCGAGGTATGTAGACTATCATAAGCACGATTCTCCGCTGGAGTGGGTTGATGTCGAGCAAGCTCAAAACTCTTGTTTCCTTTTGTGGCTACAGAAAGCTCTCGTGAGGCACTGGATGTGTCATCAAGATCTTTTTGAGGACAAGCGCTTTTGTAGTGCAGGAGAGAGTAACAAATGGAGCAATGCGACTCGAGCTTCTCATATTCCAACGTTATATAACTTTCCTCCCCTGAATCAAACTCCACTATGGATTCCTTGACTAGGGGTTTCAAGCCGTCGACCTGTACTCTGACTCTAGCCGTTGTCTTTGTGAGTTCATGGTTCTCTAAGAAACCAAGTTCTTGGCCTATACGGCACACCATGTCGTCGTGCCAAAAGTGCAGGGGGAGACCCTTGATCTTTATCCAGAAAGGGATGACAGATGGGAAGGAGCTGGAGATGACCGGCTCCCATCTTTGAAGTATGACCATCCAGTAGGAGAAGTGGTATGGTCTGTTGTCAAGGACTCGTCGGAGGTCGTCTTCCCTTTCAAACCTAAACTGGAAACAATCATTTCCCAGGTCTGAGCCCACGGCCTTGCCTCGAAGATTCCACTTGCGTGGGAGAGAAGGTAGAAGAGCCCAGATCTTCTGTACTTGAGGGTTTGTGAGTCTACCGATCAGGGTAAGTTCATTATCTTTGATGAGGGCTGAGTTGTCTACATAGGGTGCTTTGATTCGTTTGATGTTCTTCCCTGGTTCCTCTTTCATTTGATGTTTCCCTTTTTCAGCTTCTGAAAGTCTCCTAGCCATTAGAGTATCACTGGAGGAGTTACTGGTCGACTCCGAGTGAAGGTGAGGGGAGACTGGAGCAGAGATGTTGAAAGACTTGTGAGGAGAGACAAGGATCGAGGACAACGTTTGATGCAGATTCGTATTGACTTCGTTAAGGTTCTCCAGGGATGTTAGGATTGAATTCAGATGTAAAGAAGTTCTCTCCCCTTTGTTGAAGAAAACCTTGGAGGATGCTTCTTTAGGAAAAGAACTAGGGCTTCCGCTTCGAACCTTGCTAATATCCAGTGTGAAAAACTCTTTTCTTGGCAAAGAAGTGAGCAGTCACTATCCAGAGATCAGAAGGGGGATATCACCTCGAAGACTGTGTCTGGGAGAGTTTTCTCACCGAGGCATTCCAACTTTTGTCACTCTTACAAAGAAATTGTTAAAATATATATGAATTTAAATATGATTAAACAAAGCATTGGCAATGAAATGTTAGGGCAAATTTTAAAGTAGACAACTTTTTTTTTTTTATCAATAGACAATAAGTTCCCACTCTCGAAAGAAAGAGGCCCTTTCCTTCCATTATTAATTTAGGAAACAAAAATTAGATTGCCTACGTAGACATAGTTAATTAAATATCTTTGGTTGATCTTCTGTTCCTCGTGGACTTTATAAAGAAATTCATCTTCACATTGTCTCATCAAAAATCATTGCCCTATTCAACAAGCCAGCAACATTACCAAAACTCAGCATCTATTTCTTTTCTTTTTTTTTTCACTCAAACATAAACGAACAAACACTATGAAATTACTGAAATATGTATTTAGTATTTTCGATGTTGACGATAAATAAAAATCATACACAGCTGAAGTAATCGTGGGTCTCGCGAAGGAAGACATCGACCAAGTATTGCCCTTTTTTCAAAAAAAAAAAAAACATCGACCAAGTATTATTTGTTCATATCCAAACTCTGCATAGATAAAGAAAAAGTGTAGAAAAATGATTGGAAGTTTAAAACATAAGATGAGTGAAACCACCAATCACGGTGAAAATCATTTTAACATGCAGAAAAAATTACAGATAAAAGCATTTCCCTCCAATGATTATTATTGAAGATTATAATCGTTGTCAGATTCAAATTTCGACTATTTGACATATTTGATTTTAGTTTTTTCGACTTTATAACCAGCTAGCTGGTCCTTTTCCATACGACTTAAACTTACAAACGACAAATCCCTATCTTATATTAGATCTTGAAAATAACTTGTACATTTACCCCCACCCAAAAAGAACGACTCGTATGTACTTTTTATTAGTAAACAAAACTCTTACATTACTCGAACTGCTCTATTTTCATCCTTGCTCTTGTAATAATTAAAACACAATTGATCAACACGTACGTCTACAATTATGATCATTACAAAAATTTGATACCCACACCACACATTAGGTTGAGATTTGGGATATCAAAAAGAACTCATTTAACGAAGAGCATGTGTTCAAATGGATAAGAGACTAGTCATATACATCAAGGTTAAAACCAAGCTACACTATCAACAAAAATCATTGTGTCATATTACTATTGTAGATAACTATTAAACTGCAAAAATATCTAGGATTTTATAATTTCAATTTTAATTTATGTGACATACTCAAATCCTGTCCCAACTATAGAAAAATAAATTGAAATTCAACACAAAATTGCGGCTATACAAAATTTAAAAGAAGAGGAAAAACTACAAGAAAGCAGATAATTTTCAAAAAAAAAAAATGATGATGAGTAGTATCACACCAATCACCATCAACATTAGTTTTTCCTTCTTTCATTATTTAGATCGAACCCGAGTTCATTCTATCCAACTCAGTTCCACATACTTCTTCCAAACAAAATAAAAACACAGAACCTCTTTCAGTTCTGAGTTTCAGAATCTACACACACAAAAAAAAAATTATATATGTCTATATTTATTTAATAATTTAAAATAAGAAAATAAAATATAAAGAATTTTTATTGGTTTTCTTGGGGATGGAGAACTCGTACGACTCAGCAGCAGCCAAGTGGTCTGATTCAACAAGTCCATATAACACGGTCTCATGGTCATTATTACAACCTGATTCCTCAGATTCTGATCTTAGCCGCTTTAACCTTGGTTCCTCTGATGAATTTGTCGGTGGGAAAGACAAGGCTGAGTCGGTCTCAAGAAGCCACCGTCTAGCGGAGAAGAGACGCCGTGACCGTATTAATTCTCACCTCTCTGCGCTCCGGAAACTCGTCCCTGATTCCGACAAGGTATGACTCTTATTCAGACACATTAATGTTGTCCTCGGCTTAATGTTTTCGGTTTAGTCATCCATTTCGGTTTGTGCAAACCGGTTTTGATCTTCTAAGCTTAGTGCTTTCGGTTTAGTTATCAATTTCGGTTTCTGAAAACCGTTTTTTTGTACCTTATTTTGGTTATGGCACGGCTAGACTAAATTTGTTTTACAAAATTGTTGTCGCTTTATTTGTAACGTGATAGTGGATAATGTCTCAAATTACTAGCAAGACAGAGATTTGAATGTTTTGGTTCAAACAAATTCAATTAGCGAAAACCGGTTTTGAACCTGACTTGGTTCGGCATATGTGGTAGTTGTTACAGACAAGACAGCTCTTTAAGACAAATCACACACTATATATCATTCATTTCTCTCGCATTGTCGTCACACAATGCTTCGGTTTAGTAATGAAATCTAATTTTAACCAAACCGGTTTTTACATTGAAACAGTTAGACAAAGCAGCTCTCTTAGCAAGAGTGATAGAACAAGTGAAGGAACTCAAACAAAACGCAAAAGAATCACCAATCTACAAAGATCTTCCAACAGAAGCAGATGAAGTAATCGTACTCCCTGAAACTATCTCCAACGACTTAAAACCAGACACAATCATCTACAAAGCTTCTTTTTGCTGTCAAGATCAAGCCGAAGCAATCTCAGAGATCGTTAACGTTCTCACAAAGTTTCAGCTCGAGACAATAAAAGCTGAGATTATCTGTGTTGGGGGAAGAATGAGAATCAATTTCATTCTAAAAGAGATTACTACTAATACTACATCAGTAAAAACTCTGAAGCAATCTCTATGCGCAGCGTTAAACCGAATCACATCTTCTTCTTCTTCAACTACTTCATCAGTTTGTAGAATCAGAAGTAAAAGACAGAGATGGTTCCTCTCTTCTAACTACTCATAATTAAAACTATTTTCATTTCTTTACTACTATAGTAGAACACAAACATATTGGTTTTGTCAGAGATTTAAAGATAAAGACTTTGCAAGATTGTAATAAAATTGGTGAAGATCTGATTAAAATAGATAAAAGGTTTAACATTAATGAAGGATCCATACAAAATCCGACAAGAACGAAGACAGTAAAACTTAAAACTGAAACAAGAACAAACAAAAGTACTTAGAACAGAAACAAGATGAAACAAGGAAGCAGATTGAAAGAAGATCTCTCTCTCTTTATGTCTACTTAGATCGCTGTCTCATCTTTCGTCTCTTCCTCTTCAACCTCCTCATACGCTTCTTCTTCCACTGTAAAACATGGTTTAACAAATGGCTTAGAAGAATGAAAAAGGAGACGTAGAGAGACAAGATCGATGAGTGTAATGGAGAGGAGACAAAAGATCAACAACATACCTTGGCTCTCATGGCGGAGAAACTCTTTTTCTCAAAACCCTAATCGCCGGATTTACGGTGACGGTAACAAGAAATGAAACGAGGCGTCACTGCGAATATATACCCTTCAAAACCCTAGTTAGATGTTTTTTGTTTGGCCCATGTACACGTTTGGGCCTTAACGCTTATAAATAAGCCCGGTATTTAGGCTTTGTTTTCCTTGGGTGCGATGTTGTTGGCTCCAATGTTTTAACATAGTTGACAGCCGTTTAGTGTGATTTTGTGTGTGTGTTTTATTTTTATACTAGATTTTGATTAAAAATTTATATAATTAGGTTTTGTCTTAGTTGAAAGAATATTTTGATATAAATTCAGTTCACCAAAATTTGTGGTGATGATTATTTTTCATTAGTTTTTAGTTTCAGTTTTTATTTTTAGATTTTGGTTTTTAGTTTTTAAGTTTCTACTTTTCATTTTCAGTTTTTGGTTTGGGTTTTTAATTTTTAAACCCGCTCAGTTAGTTTGAACTAATATTACCGACAAACAAATCTCAAATAATCTAACAACTAATTCAAAACTGAAAAGATGACAACAAATAAAAAAAAAATTTGAAATAGTTTATTTTGTAAATAAACAAAGCAAAAAATATAACATGTGTTTTCAGATTTTGGTTTTGGATTTTAGTTTTTAGATTTGGTTTTTGGTTTTGGTTTTGCTTTACATTTTTTTAATCAGTAAATTATTTAAGAAAAATAAAACAATAAATTATTTAAAAGTTACCATTGAAATTTATCAAAACAAAGTGATTGTTATTTAGAATAAAAAATATATTAACATGTTTTAATGTACATGATTTAAATAAATGATTAATAATAGATAATTTTGTTTTTTTTTAATATTAAATACCTTTTGGGTATAAAAATAATAATTGATTTTTTGATCTTTTAAGGTGAAAAATTTATTCAATGTTTTTAGAGTTTTTTTCTTAATACTAAGCCCAAAAACCAAACTATATAATTTGTTCAAAAAATAAAAGTAAGCCCAAGACTATATTCCATAAATAACCACTGGTTTAATTTAAGTATAATTAGTAGATTTCCATATTCCATATATTGATGATATATATTCTTTTAGAACATTCCATATTTGTAGGAGAAAATATGTGTTTTCGGTATACACATAGATACCTGCTATATTTTGAAGGTAGTTTACATTAAGGTCATCTCTTTACATTAATTGTGTTGGTTTAATTTAAGTAATACGGTTCAGTCAATTATATGATTTCTATTATTTGTAACATTCTAGAAAAGGTCCAAATTTAAATGACAACTTGTATCAGTAGATAAAAAGAATGACTCTGTTTTAATATAGTAGATGATTAATAATCTTGTCTAGTCTACTCTTTCAAAATCTCACTAATGAAACAACAAATGACAAAAGTAGTGTTCTTGTTAGCCTTAGAGCATCTCCAACTATTTGGTGTAAAAATTACACCAAATTTGATGTTTTGGTGTTAAATTTTATTTTCCCTCTCCAACCATACCAAAACAATATTTTGTATTGTTAACTTTTAGTATAGATAATTTAATACATTATTATTTACAATTAACTAATTATATTTATCACTTTATTTTTTATTTATTTGTTAAGATTTAGTAACTTTATCTTTATGTTTATTTATATATGCTATTTTATTTTTAGTTAATATGTATACTTATTTATTTATTTTATAAAATTATTTTTCGAAATTAAAATTTATATAATTAACATGAAAATCTTTTTTATTTTGTAACAATTTAGTGTAATTGATAATACTCATTTGATTATATTATTGTTAAAATATGTAAATACAATAATATTAATAGTTTAATGCTTTAGTAATGTGAAAATACAAATAAATATATGCATTTTTAACTATAAATAAAAATTAATTAATAAAACTAATCTACTATAATTAAATAAAAAGTTAGAAAATATATTATTTGAATATTTGGTGTGATGAATAGTGTTACACCAAATTTAATGTAATACTATTTATTCTTTACCAGATTTAATGGGATGATGTAATTTTTGGTGTTTCATCGAAAATGAAATTATACCAAGTTTGGTGTCCCAATGGAGTGGCCTCAGAGATGCACGTAATAAGAATTTCCAATGTTTTATTTTATTTGTGACGATTAGAGAAAAACCCTTATAATATGTTTTCAATAGCAAATACTGAAATACAAAACAAAAAAACTGAAATACGTAAGGCAATCAAAAAAGAGTTAATAACAATATGAAGTCCATAAACTTTGAACAGTTACAGTTATCAGTTCACTGCAAACCATTGGAAGTTTGGAACTAAATCGCGAGTGATGAGTTGTGACTTGTAATGGCCAACATTTAGAGAATACCTAGCTAACTAGGTATCTTTGATTATATTCATGTAATTGTTCTACACATAGTTTAAACTATAATAATGAATACCTATTCCTTGGAATAGTAACTTCAATCAGCAAAACGAATTTCAACAATCTATACACAATTCGAATTCACACTTTAGGCTGAAAACTGATTTTTTCTTACAAACGGATAAGATATAATACATGACGGTGTTATTCCACAAAATCAAGAAGTTAATACAGTGAATCGTAGTCCGAACAACACCGAGTCTACAATTTTTTTAGATAGAGAACACACTGTTGATTTGTTTCTTTCTTTAAGCTAGAGCTTGGAAAAACTTATCCATACAATACATTATAAGGGTATATTAGAGGATACAAAAACCTTCCATAGACTAGTACTAACGATGATATGCAAAACAACATACGCATCCAGTGATGACCTTTCCTTGCAAACTTGTTCTCCCAAGTTTCTCTACCTTGATTCATATTATACTATAACTCAAACTTAATATAAACATATATTAATAAATAAATAAACTCTCAGAGATAAAATGAGATATTAAAACCTCTGAAAGTCAAAAACAAAATCGAAATTATAATCCTGTAACACTCTATGAAGTGTTGAACCAATAAACTCGCATAAAACTTTCCACCTTTCTCTTCCTCTTCCACATATGTATAAACTTTATTGGAACCGTAATCTCCTTTACGAATTCCCTGAAAAATATACTAAAAAGTCTTGAAAAGCAGGACACCCTCTTAATTATCTCTATATGTAAAAAATATCCTTCAAACTTGTGCATGCAAAGCTCCTCATCAAATGTAATTTCCTTGATTCCTTCCAAAAATGAATCCTCGGAATCTCCAATACTCTTGACCGACCCTTAGGGTTTCTCAATAGATCACCAGATGATCAAAAGTCAAGCAAAAAGGGATCAACAAAATCCCACATACTCCCCCAATGACTATACTCGTCTTCTGCACCAAATGGCCAACCCGTTGAAGATCCATCTCCAACCATATTATAACCCGGATCCATACCCATAGAACTAACCGGATCAACAACGGCCGTGGATATTGAAAGACTCGAACCCACAGAGCCAGCTAGAGAATTCATATTCTCCATTGAATAATTGTTGTTATTATTACAACCACTTCCTCCTTGTTCTTGCCCTAACGCCACTTCATGATTAAACGACGTCGAATTACTAACCGGGACATCTGTGAGCCCCACGTCACTCATCTTGTTATTGTTATTACACGAGTGAAGATTCTGATACGGTTGGTGATGGAACTGTCCCACTTGCGTCATCTGATTCTGTTGTTGTTGGTGTTGGTGAGGGAGAAGACCATAACTAGGGCATAACATAGAGGTCCCACCAGAAAGAAAAATATTATTGGTAAAAGGCACACCGTAATGACCAAAGGCGGAGGCGGAGGAGACGGCGGAGGGACGAGGGAGGAGAGGTCTTAGGGTTTGAGTGGAGGAAGAAGAGGAAGAAGGAGAAGATGAAGCGGCGGAGACGGTGGAGGAAGTAGAAGAGACGGAAGAAGGAGAGGACGGTGATAAGTTGAGCTGAGCACGTGACCCGTAGAGGAAAACGGCGGCACGGTCGTAGGCACGTGCGGCGTCTTCGGCGGTGGCGAAAGTACCAAGCCACTTGCGAGTGCGTTTACGTGGCTCACGGATCTCGGCGACCCATTTGCCCCAGCTTCTTTGTCGGACGCCACGGTAACGAAACTTGGAGTTGTCGGGACCACCTTTGCCTTTACGTTTGCGTTGTTGAGCGGAGGAGGTTGAGTCGGTGGAATCGGTTTGAGGATTGTGGGTTAGGGTTTGTTGGATATTATCGTCAAGATTGTGTTGTTGTTGTTGTTGTTGTTGTTGTTGTTGTTGGGAAGGTAAAGAGTCCATAGATGAAGAAGAAGAAGAAAGGACAGAGAAAATGGATTAAAGAAATTGAGAGGACGAATCAACAAGGAAGAGAGACTGAGAGAGTGTTTGAATGTCACGGTTGTGAATGGTGGATTAGGGCGGTGCTTCTTCTTTTTATATACTTGCACTCTCACTTCTTTCTCTCTTTTTACTTTCACCTAATTAGCCCATTTGTTTTCCCACCCAATGACATTTTTGTTGTTAATATTAGTACCAAGAGCATCTCTAAAAAAATTCTATAATTTTAGTATAAGGTTTCTGTTCTTCAGAAAATAATTTTAAAACTTTAAATTTAGAGTTTTAAGTAATGAAATTTCACTATTCAAACTTCAAATTGATTGTTTTATATATTTATTTACATGTTAGTTCTTACAAATACACATCACATTTTTAAATATTTTATTGTTATCTTTTTAATTTATTATCTCATAAATAATTCAAATTGTTTATAACTAAATTTTACACATATTTAGTTTTTTCAAAAAAAAAATATTAAGATAAAATTTAAAATATTTGAAAACTAAAACTAGAGAACAGCAATATTACAAGAATTAATGTGATATATTTTGTAGTTTAAAATATTTAATTTTATACTTGTATTTATAATTTATATTTTAGTGTAACATTTTATTAATTAATATTGTTGTAATTTTTTTATAGTTTTGCTAGTTATTTATTAAAAATATGAATTTGAATTAATAATGACAAATATAAAGAATATAATATAAAATATAAATAATTTTGAAATTGAATTAAAATTTTATTTTTTGAGAATAACACATTTAAACTTGAAATATAGAATTTTGCAAACTATAAATTAGAAAAAAAATTAGAGATGTTCTAAGTCAGCTTTGTTTCTTGGTTGTTACTTAAAAAGCTTATGTAAAAAGAAACACACAAGATGATGGAGAAATCTGCTAATTCATACATAAACACATATTTGCGCGGTGTCAATCAGTACATTATTAATGATCTGTGTAAAAACTAACCTGAACAAAACTTATTAATTTATACCAAAACTAATGTGCCAATTATAAATTATGTATGAACTTAATTAATTGTATGCTGATAACATCAATCGGCCAGCCTTGCAACTAGATGATCATGCATAGATGATTGAAGCTGGGATGTTGAACGCCAAGTCCACAAAAAACGAGGCCAAACATATTGATTTTAGTAATCTTAACATGATAGATAAATTTAGCATTGTGTTGACAATCTGTATTATATATATTAATTTCAAATATCGACAGATTTTACGGATTTAATAAAGTTTCAATAATTTTGATGTCAGACTTAGCTTATTAGTAATAATTTTTCTTCTATATCTATATAAATTATATTAAAGTTTTAATCAATTCAGTGTGAAGCTTTCGTGTTACTTGCAGATATAATGACTAGTAAATTAATATGAGCAAAATATCATCGATTCTGAACCATGGAAATGGCCAGATTTGAAGACAGTCATATGAAGTATTTGCTTTGACTCTTAGAGCATCTCCAAAAGATATTCTATAACTTCAAATATGAAAATTTTTGATTCTTCAAAAAAAATTCTAAAACTTCAAATTTAAAGTTTTATATTCGTATTGTATTTAGATCCTTACAATTATATATTATATTTATAATTCTTATATATTTTATATTTTATATTTTATTATTTTAACCCTTAAAATTTCATATCTCAGAAATATTTCAATTTTTTTTGTCTAAAACAACAAAATAAGATTTTGATAGTTAAATTTAGAACTAGACAACAACAATATTACAAGACTTAATGTGGTAGTTTATTTATAATTTAACATTTAATTATATATTTCTATTAAAAATTTCATATTTTAGTGTAACATTTTATCGTTTAATATTGTTATAATATTTTTATATATGTACTAGTTATTTATATTTTTTATGAATTTGAATTAGTTATAAAAAATATAAGGACTATAGTGTAAAATACAATTAGTTTTAAAGTTATATTTGAAGTTTTGTTTTTGGAGCATAACACCTATAAACTTCAAATATAGATTTATGCAAACTCTAAATATAGTGTCTTTTGGAGCATAACTTCAAAAGACACTCTATAACACTAAATATAGAGTTTTTGTCTCTCCAAAAAGAAACTTCAAAACTTCAAATTTGAAGTTTCATATTTTTGTTTGTATTTTGGTCCTTACAATTAATTATATATTATATTTAGATTTTTTCAATATTTTCTCATTTTACATTTTAATCCTTAAAATTTTTATATCTTATTAATATTTCAGATTTTTTTTATAAATTTAAGTTTTATACATAAAACTTCAGAATAAAATTTATATTATTTTAAAACAAAATTAGACTTCATGAATATTACAAAAGAAACTTAAAAAAAAAGATACATGAAAAATATAGTTATTACATAAATTTAAATATTAAAACAATATAAATAGTATGGTAAATATTTTCTAAAACCTTCAAAATCACTAAAATATTATCCAAATAAGTATTGTGTAATTGAAGATGGAGCATTATGGAAATAATTTTATGAAATAATGTGATATTTTGTTTGTATTTTATTATTTAGTTATGTATTTTTATTTACAGTTTTATATTTTAGAGTAAATATTTTTTAATTAATATTATTGTTATGTTTTTCATATATATGTTAGTTATTTATAAAAAGTTATAAATTTATAGTAATTATGAAAAATATAAGGACCATAAAGTAAAATACAAATAGTTTTAAAGGTAGATTTGACGTTTTGCTTTTGAAGAAAAACACATTGAAACTCAAAAATAGAATTTTGCAAACTCTAAAATAGATTGTTTTTTTTAGAGATGCTCTTAAAAAATTTAGAGATTTTTAATATAAGAATAATCCTCTAAACATTAACTCTAGTTTCAAAAAATTTTAGAATTCTTAAGAAATGTTTTAAGCTCCTAAAATCTTAGATCCGGCCCTGGGATTTATACAACTCTATGAATTCTTGTTATTACTTTCTTTCATTCGTAGTATACCTAATGTTTGGTTCTTACGTTCTCAGATATTTTAGAAATCAGAATCAGATATTACATATAGTCAACTGTTGTATATCTAAACATACGTTCTTCATACATAACTGATTTATTAATCAAAGAATCGGCTAAAATATGTTAGTTGAATTTTGCAGAAAAAATAATACTTTGCGCACTCGGAGAGTGTTGCAGATGCATTGCTAGCTGCAGCCACTACCGGAGGGACAGAAATACAGATGCAGAGAAACTGAAAGGTACAGAAGTAATTATATTTCTGTGTTTTTATTGAAACCATACATTGATAAATGTGTTCCTTTAGTCTACTTCATACATACCATTCTTGGAAAAAGACTGGGCTTCAGTCAAATACTTCGCCCGTTTTATGATAATCGGAATTCTGGATACCACACACTATTTTAATTCTAGCAAAAGTTATGTAGATGTTAAAAACACTCGCTTGTTAAATACTCTCTCTGTTTTAATATAAGTGTCACTCTACAGCTATGCACACGGATTAAGGAAACAATTAATTTTACATATTTCCTATATAAAAACACAATTACCCACACACCTAACCATATTTTAACCAATAGAAAAACAAATTACATAATAAAATTAATAAATTTTGCATTGAAAACCGAAAACGACACTTATTTTGTAACATAAAAAATTTACTACAACGACACTTAATATAAAACGGAGGGAGTAATATGTATACTAGTATCTATTAATGCGTAGCTATACGTTAGATATTTTATGTATTCTTCGAGTGTAAGAAAAAGAAAACTGAACACACCACTATATACCACTTTTCTCTCCAATCATTAAATGCTAATTTAAATTATATATATATTACATTCTTGAAACTATTTGGGTATAGATGCAATTGGAGATCTTTGAAATAAAAGAATTTTGAAGTCGATTTAGTGCTTTCTAAGGCTGGACAAAATATTAATTAAATTAAATTTGATCTATTATCTATTTCGATATAAATAAAAAATTCATATATTTTAACTTTAAGAAAAACAATAATTATTATTCCCCCTTTCCTAAAAGATCTATATTCTAGTTTTTTCACATTTTTTAATAAAACACAATAAATTTACATAGTTTTTTGTATTTATCTTATTTTCATCATTTTAAGCCAGTAAAAAATCAATATTGCAATTAAGTTTTTTGAAATTTACAATTAGTTAATAAAACATGCATTGGAAAGATAAAAAATAGATATTTTAGAAACAATTTTTTTTTCTAGAATATGTATATTTAAGGAACGAAAGGAGTAATATATAATATCAATTTTGTATAATATTATGTCCAATTACCACAATTATTTTTACAATGAAACAAATCATAAATATCAATATTTTATAACAAATATCCGATCTTTATATTATATCTACATATTTAGAAATTATATAATTATTATACTCATATCAAAATAATAATATTTTATTTGTTAAATTGACAATGTTACTTATTATAATAAATAAATAACATTTTATTTTGTTATTAACTATTTTGAATGTATTTTTTAGCTACGATAATTTATGCGAAATGTAACAGATTAATATTCCAAAATTCTGATTTTCAATTAATGATTACCTCTAGTGCCTCTGACGTGTGAACAAGAAATATCAATACTGAATGTATCAACAAAAACAAAGAGAAACATAACTTGTAGTTTCATCATAACAAAGTTTTGTTGTTTAGTATTATTTATATACCATTTTCATGTATTTTGTTGTTTTTTCAAAAATAAAATAATCAAGATGAAATTTACTTTAATGTATTGTAAATTGCATTTTATTTTTATTCAATCATATAAGCTGTGAAAAATAGTTTATCTGTAAATGTTATCACAGAAAGACTAGAAAAATTAATTAGAGATACTCTTCGGAATGTTGGAGTTGATAACATATAACAAAAACTCCTCTTCCAATGGATTTACGATTTTGTTTGTCATCCACAGCTATTAATTATAT